CTAGCACATTCCATCCAAAAACAACAGAATACACGTTCTTCTCAAGTGCTTATGGAACATTCTCCAGGATAGATCATATCTTGGGTCACAAATCAAGCCCTGGTAAATTTAAGAAAATTGAAATCGTATCAAGTATCTTTTCCGACCACAACGCTATGAGACTAGATATCAATTACAGGAAAGAATCTGTAAAAAATACAAATACATGGAGGTTAAACAATACACTACTAAATAACCAAGAGATCACTGAAGAAACCAAAGAGGAAATCAAAAAATACCTAGAAACAAATGACAATGAAAACACAATGACCTAAAACTTATGGAATGCAGCAAAAGCAGTTCTAAGAGGGAAGTTCATAGCAATACAATCCTACCTCAAGAAACAAGAAACATCTCAAATAAACAACTGAAACTTACACCTAAAGCAACCAGAGAAAGAAGAACAAAAATCCCCCAAAGTTAGCGGAAGGAAAGAAATCATAAAGATCACGTCAGAAATAAATGAAAGAGAAATGAAGGAAACAACAGCAAAGATCAATAAAACTAAAAGCTGGGTCTTTGAGAAGATAAACAAAATTGATAAACCATTAGCCAGACTCATCAGGAAAACAAGGGAGAAGACTGAAATCAATAGAATCAGAAATGAAAAAGGAGAAGTAACAACTGACACTGCAGAAATACAAAGGATCATGAGAGATTATTACAAGAACTATATGCCAATAAAATGGACAACCTGGAAGAAATGGACAAATTCTTGGAAAAGCACAACTTTCTGAGGCTGAACCAGGAAGAAATAGAACATAAAAAGAGATCAATCACAAGCACTGAAATTGAAACTGTGATTAAAACTCTTCCAACAAACAAAAGCCCAGGACCAGATGGCTTCACAGACGAATTCTATCAAACATGTAGAGAAGAGCTAACACCTATCCTTCTCAAACTCTTCCAAAATATAGCAGAGGGAGGAACACTCCCAAACTCATTCTACAAGGCCTCCCTCACCCTGATACCAAAACCCATACAAGGATGTCACAAAGAAAGAAAACTACAGGCCAATATCACTGATGAACATAGATGCAAAAATCCTCAACAAAATACTCACAGAATCCAACAGCACATTAAAAGGATCATACACCATGATCAAGTGGGTTTATTCCAGGAATGCAAGCATTCTTCAATATAGGCAAATCAATCAACATGTTACACCATATTAACAAATTGAAGGAGAAAAACCATATGATCATCTCAACAGATGCAGAAAAAGCTTTTGACAAATTTCAACACCCATTTATGATAAAAACCCTCCAGAAAGTAGGCATAGAGGGAACTTACCTCATCGTAATAAAGGCCATATATGACAAACCCACAGCCAACATCGTTCTCAAGGGCGAAAATAGAAACCATTTCCACTAAGATCAGGAACAAGACAAGGTTGTCCACTCTCACCACTATTATTAAACATACTATTGGAAGGTTTAGCCACAGCAATCAGAGAAGAAAAGGAAATAAAAGGAATCCAAATTGGAAAAGAAGAAGTAAAGCTGTCACTGTTTGCAGATGACATGATACTGTACATAGAGAATCCCAAAGATGCTACCAGAAAACTACTAGAGCTAATCAATGAATTTTGTAAAGTTGCAGGATACAAAATTAATGCACAGAAATCTCTTGCATTCCTATACACTAATGATGAAAAATCTGAAAGAGAAATAAAGGAACCACTGCCATTTACCACTGCAACCAAAAGAATAAAGTACCTAGGAATAAACCTACCTAAGGAGACAAAAGACCTGTATGCAGAAAATTATAAGACACTGATGAAAGAAATTAAAGATGATATGAACAGATGGAGAGATATACCATGTTCTTGGATTGGAAGAATCAACATTGTGAAAATGACTCTACTACCCAAAGCAATCTACAGATTCAATGCAATCCGTATCAAACTACCACTGGCATTTTTCACAGAACTAGAACAAAAAATTGCACAATTTGTATGGAAACACAAAAGAACCCGAATAGCCAAAGCAATCTTGAGAAAGGAAAATGGACTGGAGGAATCAGGCTCCCTGACTTCAGACAATACTGCAAAGCTACAGTAATCAAGAGAGTATGATACTAGCCCTAAAACAGAAATATAGATCAATGGAACAGGATAGAAAGCCCAGAGATAAACCCATGCACATATGGTCACTTTATCTTTGATAAAGAAGGCAAATATACAATGGAGAAAAGACATCCTCTTCAATAAGTCGTGCTGGGAAAACTGGACAGCTACATGTAAAAGAATGAAATTAGAACACTCCCTAACACCATACGCAAAAATAAACTCAAAATGGATTAAAGACAAAATTTAAGGCCAGACACTAATAAAACTCTTAGAGGAAAACATAGGCAGAACACTCTATGACATAAATCACAGCAAGATCCTTTTTGACCCACCTCCTAGAGAAATGGAAATAAAAACAAAAATAAACAAATGGGACCTAATGAAACTTAAAAGCTTTTGCCCAGCAAAGGGAACCATAAACAAGATGAAAAGGCAACCCTCAGAATGGGAGAAAATGTTTGCAAATGAAGCAACTGACAAAGGATTAATCTCCAAAATATACAAGCAGCTCATGCAGCTCAATATGAAAAAACCAAACAACCCAATCCAAAAATGGGCAGAAGACCTAAATACACATTTCTCCAAAGAAGATATACAGATGGCCAACAAACACATGAAAGGATGCTCAACTTCATTAATCATTAGAGAAAAGCAAATCAAAACTACAGTGAGGGGCTTCCCTGGTGGCGCAGTGCTTGAGAGTCCGCCTGCCGATGCAGGAGACGCGGGTTCGTGCCCCGTTTCGGGAAGATCCCACATGCCGCGGAGCGGCTGGGCCCGTGAGCCATGGCCACTGAGCCTGCGCGTCCGGAGCCTGTGCTCCGCAAATGGGAGAGGCCACAACAGTGAGAGGCCCGCATAACGCAAGAAAAAAAAAAACTACAGTGAGGTATCACCTCACACCAGTCAGAATGGCCGTCATCAAAATATCTACAAACAATAAATGCTGGAGAGGTTGTGGAGAAAAGGGAACCCTCTTGCACTGTTGGTGGGAATGTAAATTGATACAGCCACTATGGAGAACAGTATGGAAGTTCGTTAAAAAACTAAAAATAGAACTACCATATGGCCAGCAATTCCACTATTGGGCATATACCCTGAGAAAACGATAATTCAAAAAAAGTCATGTACCACAATGTTCATTGAAGCTCTGTTTACAATAGCCAGGACATGGAAGCAACCTAAGTGTCCATCGACAGATGAATGGATCAATAAGATGTGGCACATATATACAATGGACTATTACTCAGCCATAAAAAGAAATGAAATTGAGTTATTTGTAGTGAGGTGGATGGACATAGCGTCTGTCATACAGAGTGAAGTAAGTCAGAAAGAGAAAAACAAATACCGTATGCTAACACATATATATGGAATCTAAGGAAAAAAAAAGTTTCTGAAGAACCTAGAGGCAGGACAGGAATAATGACACTGATGTAGAGAATGGATTTTAGGACACCTGGAGAGGGAAGGGTAAGCTGGGACCAAGTGAGAGAGTGGCATGCACATATATACACTACCAAATGTAAAATAGATAGCTAGTGGTAAGCAGCCGCATAGCACAGGGAGATCAGCTCGGTGCTTTGTGACCACCTAGAGGGGTGGGATAGGGAGGGTCAGAGGGAGATGCACGAGGGAGGAGATATGGGGATATATGTATATGTATAGCTGATACACTTTGTTATACAGCAGAAACTAACACCCCATTGTAAATCAATTATACTCCAATAAAGATGTTAAAAAAACAAATAAAAACCACCTAAGAATAAAAGAAAAGAAACAAACAAAAAAACCCTCCAAAAACAGACAGCAAAAGAGAATAGAAGGGCAAGTACTCGTGGATATTTAGTTTTGTGAAATTTTTGTTTGTTATATATGTATTTCTTTGTATCCAGATGTCCATGTCTCTATAATTCCATGTGTGTATGATGTTCTGCTGTGTTGCAATGAAAAAGTCTAATTGTGTGTGGTGGGCAAAAGAGATTGAAAAACATGGGCTTATAGGATATGAAGTCTGAGCTCCTTAATCAGGCATATAAGGCCCTCTATGATCTAAACCCTTGATGACCCCTAACTCTCAGCACTGTCTTGTCCACTAATTTAGAACTGTTTAGGTGGCTTCACCTAAGACACCGAAATTTTTTTGTTTCTTTCATCTCTGTGCCTTTGCTCATGTTGAACCCTCTGCTTGGACGGCTGATCCTACCGTCTCTTTGCCTGGACAACTTCTACTCCTGTAAGTCTCAGTTTAAAAAACCTCTATTCCAGGGTTTCCCTGGTGGCGCAGTGGTTGAGAGTCCGCCTGCCAATGTAAGGGACACGGGTTCATGCCCTGGTCCGGGAAGATCCCACATGCCGCGGAGCGGCTGGGCCCGTGAGCCACGGCCGTTGAGCCTGTGCGTCCGGAGCCTGTGCTCCGCAACGGGAGAGGCCACAGCAGGGAGAGGCCACAGCAGTGAGAGGCCCGCGTTTCGCAAAAACAAAAAAACCCATCTATTCCAGGAATCCTTCTCTGAACGCCCCAGGGTGGGCTCGGCGCCCTGCTCTGACCTTTCATAACATGCTACAGACTTCCGTTAACAGGGTAATAATGCTATAATGATTTATTTAAGTATTCATTTCCGGCACTATACTAACTTCTTTCCGTGCTAGTACTATTTTACTCACCTTTGTATCTCAAAGGAGAAGCACTGTACCTGGAACATACTGGCACTCAGTCAATGAATAGTTGTTCAAAGAATAAAGGAGCGAAGTAGGCTAAATAAATTAATCCTCTATGCAGACAATACAAGTGCATGGCGGACTCCGGCCACCGGAGGGCGCCTTGCACCGGGGCTGGTGCGCAGGCGTGCTGGGAGGGCTGGCGCCCCCGCGGCGGCAGCGGCGGCGGTGTGGGTTGTGGTCGCGGGAAGTGAATGGTTTTACCCAGAGGGCCCTGCGCCGCCTTTCTCCGCTGGCACCGGCGCTGCTCCCTGCTCCTCCTCCCCGGCCATGGCGTTCACGTTCGCGGCCTTCTGCTACATGCTGGCGCTGCTGCTCACCGCCGCACTCATCTTCTTCGCCATTTGGCATGTGAGTAGCCGGGGCCGGGGAAAGAAGGGCGAGGTGGCGGCGCAGTCTCTTTTCGCCCCGGGCCCGTGGTCGGGGCGGCCACGGCCCTCGGAGGTCTGCACGCCCGGGAATGGGGCCAGGCCGGAGCGGTGCCGGCCGCGCGGCCAGGGCCCTGCGCGCCCTCGGTCCGCGAACCGGGGGCTTTAGGTCCAGGAGGAGCCGAGGCGTCCGGCGACTGGCTGGCTGCGCCTGCCGTGTCCCGGCGCAGGCCGCGCGCGCCGCTACTCCTCCCTTGCCGGGTGGGGCGGCCGCGGTCCTAGCGGGTCCTGCGGGACAGCGCTTTGCTGGCCGGCGCCGCATCCCCGCGTTGCCTCGTCCCTCGGGAGGATGTCAAGGGCGCAGAGGGGCGTGCTACGTGCTGAGCCAGAATGAAGTTTGCCGAAATATTATTATTTAATGCAGATTGCCTTTGTTTTCTGGTGTCCACAGGAGTGTGGCCCAAATGAGGTAGTTATAACCTACTTGAGATAAATTTCCAGCTGTACTTTTCAGGCACTTGTTGGGTGCTCTTCAAGTAGAATCACCCCACCCCCCGCCCCAGGCATTGTCTCCTGGTGAACTTTGATGCCGGTTGAATTGATTACTTTGTTGACCTTTATCTCCGAACTTTCCCCCTAAATCATACTTCTAGCCACCTGTGTGTTCAGAGTAGCTTGATTTAGTAGAGGTAGTTTTAATTTGATTTTGAAAATGCTCAGAAACCTTACGCTTCTCTAGGATAATTTTTATTTTTTTCTCTTTTACTCACATCATGTTGCGGGACAGAAGCACATCCTTACTGGTCCCTGTAAGGAACAAGTTAAGTTCCCTGTGAAATACAAGAGATTTTTAAGGATTCCTGTTTCTCTAACACAAAATTAGAAGCAGCCTTTTGGACATCAGCATTCATTAAAAATTTATCTTATTTTTGCTCTGCCTTCCATATTCTAGTACCTTCTGGAATATTGGTCTTAGTTTGAATGATTGGGCATGTTCACTCTCATGTAAATTTTCAGTCAGGTTTCATCATGCCCATAGCAGGGATTTGTTATGGAACATACAGAGGCAGAGTGATTTATGTGGTAGCAGTATCTTGTGCAAAAAAAAAAAAAAAAAATCTCAAATCCATTCCCTTTTGCTAAGGTGTGTAATTACATTTATAATTATTTGAAACCCAACTGCTTGTGTAGTGGGGGAATGCTTATGTAGGCTGCTCCCTCAAAGTGCTTTGTCAGTAGGAACCCGTAACTTGAAGAGCATTTTGGGCTCTTCTTTGGTGGAATAAAGACAATAAGTAAAGATAATTTGGGATGCAAACTAGCTCTGCCTTAGTAAGCCTCTGAAGAAACTGAAATGTGTGGTTCCCTGCCATTTGTAGATGATGATTTAATCACTTCCTGCTTGATGGGCACTCTGTTTTTTGAGCTGATGAGGATTCTTAGAAGAGAGCTGTGAATGGCTTACATTTTGAACTAGATTGTGTTTTGCTAAGAAAACCTGAACTGCACTTTAAAGAAAAAAATGGGTAATTTAAATGAATATGTGTTTGGGTAATTTAAATGAATATGTGTTTGGGTGAAGTAGATGATTTTAAGTCCTGTTACAGAATTAAAAATGTGTTCGTACTCCACAGATTAGTGGAGAGCTTATATCCTTAGGAATTTCTAGTAGTTCAGAGGATTGTGCATCCTTTGGGAAAAAAAATAGAAAATTCTAAATAAAGATATAGTTTTAATTTTTCTGTTAACTATGTAACCTTCAGTTACTTTTCTTTTTTTAACTTTTCTTTTTTTCTTTTTAATTTTTTAAAAATAATTTATTTTTGGCTGCATTGGATCTTTGTTGCTGCACGCGGGCTTTCTCTAGTTGCAGCGAGCGGGGGCTACTCTCCGTTGTGGTGCGCGGGCTTCTCATTACGGTGGCTTCTCTTGTTGCAGAGCATGGGTTCTAGGCACGTGGGCTCAGTAGTCATGGAGCACAGGCTTAGTTGCTCTGCAGCATGTGGGATCTTCCCAGACCAGGACTTGAACCTGTGTCCCCTGCATTAGGCAGGTGGATTCTTAACCACTGCCCCACCAGGGAGGTCCCCAGTTTATTTTCTTAGGTCATTTTAAGTATCTGTCAGAAGACTCATCTGGAAATTTCAAGTATAAATTCAGAAAATCCAGTTTATGTTAATTGTTGTTCGGAGGATTTTTTTTATGCTGATGGTTACGTCTGTCAGTTTAGTCCTAATTCATGTGATTGATGCTTTTTGGAGAATAGAGTTGGGAGCATAGATTTGTTTGAAAGCTAAAAATGCAGAAGTCATTTCGCAAAGATGTGCATTGAATTTGAAGGTATCCTGAATTGTATAGTTTGCTATCTTTAGGGATTTTTGTTTGTTTGTTTTGTTTTTGCACTTTTTTGGAAAACTTTGTGAATGTCCTTGTCCAGACCCACAGTCACAGAAGATTTGAAAACCACTAGTTTAAGAATCTTTTCAGAAGAGTTTTGACAACTCTAGCTTATAGCACTCAAACAGAAACCCGTTCAGCACCATACACATTAAAAGATCCTTTGAAATCACCTGAAGAAACCGTCCAGTGGGAAAAAAGTTAAAGCACAAGTTTCATACTCTGCTAGTAAATTGGATCTTGTTATAGGGAAGTAATTGTATTTGCGATCACAGTCCTTGTCTTAAACGTTATTACTAAAATGCATTGGGAATATATCACAGCTAATGTCAGGTAATTGACTGATTATATCCATAAATAATCAGAAATTAGTATCTTCTATTTGTACATTTATATTTTTAACATATGTGTTAGGGGTCATTAGCAAAGGAAAATGCCTTTTGGCGAGTTCTGTACTTTTTTTTAAAGCATAGGACTAGTTTTTCCTCCCCCCCCCCCCTTCATTCAGTAAATATATTTTTTTAATATTTATTTGGCTGTGTCAGGTCTTAGTTGCGGCAGGCGGGATCTTTGTTTCGGCATGCGGGGTCTTTCATTGAAGCGTGCGGGCTCAGTAGTTGTGGCATATGGGCTCTAGAGCATGCAGGCTCAGTAGTTGAAGCCCGGGGCACGTGGGATCTTAGTTCTCTGACCAGGGATCGAACCCGCATCCCCTGCATTGGAAGGCGGATTCTTAACCACTGGACCACTGGGGTAGTTCCATTCAGTAAATATTGATTGAACACTTATATAGGTGCCAGGCACTATTTTAAGCCCTGCGACATAGCAGTGAACACAGCAAAAATCTTTGCTCTCATGGAGCTGACATTTTAATGTTTAATTATTTTCCTTCTATTTCTACTTTCATTAAAAATTTTATTAGGCCAGGTTGGTAATTTTATAAAATTCTAGGAATTAAAAAAACTCATCTTTTTATGAAGCTAAGAATTTTAACAGGGTAAGCCAGTATATTAAAAGCTAGAAATATATGACTTCATTGATTACTGGTAATATTGAGTAGCACTGTCTCACATATAAAAATACTAGTCCTAACCCACCAGAGCAAGGGCAGATTAAATTCTTTGTCCCCTGGGTGACTGGTGGCAGCAACTAAAATAGCTCCCCCATAAACTTGGGGCCCTTGGCTTCTTACTTTGACACAAAGTGGTGTGTCACCCCTATTTGATTTTTAGTGCATTTTGACTTTGAAGTTGTGTTCAGTGACCTTAAATGTTAAAGCCACATTTCTTCTCAGAGTGTGGACAGAAACATTCTTGATTCTTGCTGTTTTTTTTTAATGGTATGATATAAAATTTTTATTTATTTACTTATATTAAAGTATAGTTGATTTACTCTTGCCATGCATTTTATTTATTATTTATTGGCCATGCCACATGGCACGCGGGATCTTAGTTCTCCGACCAGGGATGGAACCTGTGTCCCCTGCAGTGGAAGCATGGAGTCTTAACCCCTGGACCGCCAGGAAAGTCCTTGCAATGCATTTTAAGTGGATGAGATCTTTCTTCCCTTATCGTATTTATAATTGTTTCACTCATCACACCATGAGAAGCTGGCATTACCTGGGCTTTACCCTTTTTCAGTCTTTAGTTTGGTGACCAAATGAAAGGACCTGCATATGGTAGGAATATAAGAGGACATGAAAGGAGGTCAGATTGATCATTTTTGCAGTGCCCTTAAACAGGCTTGCTCTTGCCTATGTGGTGCCTTAGGGTGAATTAGAATAAGATGCCTCTTGAGGCAGAGGATTAGAAAAGTCCTCCCTCCTGAATAGCCCCTGGTGCAGAGCCCATGCCAGAGTGCTTGGCAGCAGAAGTGTGCGTGGCATTGTGCCCCCACCTGGCCTTTTGTTCTTTGCAGAAACTGCAGTACTGTATGTGGTGGTCCTGGCTGTGAAGTTTAATATTCTCTTAGTGTTCCTCTATTCTGAGGCTATTTCTTGAATTTCCAAATCGAAGCAGGACCGTGAAATGTATGTGTTTAGGTACAAATGGGAACAAATTGAAGCATACAAGTCCATTTCTAGTGTCTCGCTGAACACTGTGACAAGGGAGGGACATGCACAGTTGATTAAAAACACTTCACCCTGAGGGGCACACAGTCTAGTGGGGGGACACAAACCTGAACTTAAATCCTCTCCTCTAGTATGAGAAATGCCAGCCTGATAGCATTATAAAGCCTTGTGCTATGTGGAGATTAGACAGGCGTGCAATTATTTCTGCCCAAAGGAATTAGGGAGACCTACAGGGAGGAGTTGACATAGGAAGAATGTTTAGGATAAAGAGGAGCTTCTGTAAATAGTTATGGCTGGGGGAAAGACTGTTTCAAGCAGAGAAAATAACTTTAGTGGAGGCGTTGAAAAAATTGAAAATTGAAGGTATTTATCACAGTGATATCAGATCATTTTAATGATAACAATATACAAGTGTTTTCAGTTCTTTGAATGTGATTCTAGTTATTTATTAATTACCATATATTGAGCTTACTGTAAACTGGTACATATAAAGTTGCTACACTTGTGCTTTTGTCCTATTAACTTTATGCAGTTATTGTTTGACGGGGCAGGTTTATTGCTGCTTTTTATTAAAGTGAGAGATCCTAACTATTTTATTTTTATTTTAGATTATAGCATTTGATGAGCTGAAGACTGATTACAAGAATCCTATAGACCAGTGTAATACCCTGAATCCTGTAAGTTATAAGATAGGCTATTTCTCTAGATTTTTAAACTGTTTTTGCTTTTACCTTGATATAATTTGAAAATGGCCAATATTCTCAGTAGCATGATAAATTTGTACTTTTTGAAGTAGGCAGAATTTTAAAAATATTCTTTTTCCTGTCCTGCTTGACTATTCTATTATTAATCTGCTGGTGATCTTGTCAGCTGTCATACTAACATTCTTCCAATCTGCTTTTTACATTGTCGGCCAAAGACAGTTGAAAAGGTCAAAAAGATTAAAAGAGTCAAAATTGCATTAAAGGTGTGTACTGCTTTTTAGTTTAATGTTTTAATGCTACATTCATTTCATGGGGAGGGTTAGGGCATTTGTATTTGTAAACTGTTCTGTTCAGTGTGCTTGTTCATATGCCTGTTGAGGTTTATGATTTCATGAAATTTCATATTTTATGCAAATGTTTGCTTGCTGGCCCAGCCAGGTAGGGAAAGCTGTTAAATGCTCATGCATTTAAAAAAATGTTATAGCCATAGGCACTTCGATATTAAATTATTAGGTGCAGTGTTTGAAAGTTGGTTAACATGAAATGACTTTAATAGGTGAGATTATTCTTTTGTGGTAACTTACTCTGAGGTAATCTGTAGGTGGAGTCTTTAGTACCATATCTATTTTTATCTTTGGTTTTGTCTATTCTGGAATTCATTTATTCTTTCAGCAGCTGTTTATTCAGAGCCTTTTAGGTGGATAGCTCTGTTCTTAGGCTCTGGAATTTTGCAGTAAGGCTTACCTTTGGATGCATGCTGTCAGAATTTTGTGGATAACAATTTGTATACAAATATCTACATAGTTATTTCTAGTATATATCCACTCTAAGTTTCTAAAGCAGACCTGTCTAACACTAAGTTCTGAGCTCTTCTGGATTTAGTTATAATGTGGCCCCATTGTGCTTAGGGGTTTTATATATATATTTGACTTCATTTAGTTTACAGGAAGATTCTCCTGTAGCCTGTAGGTTTGATTTTTGCCTAACTGGTCAGAAACTGAAAGGTTTTTTGTAAGAAAGCAGTGAGTATGTCTTCAAGAACTAGAATATAATAATTCATCTTTAAACATTACTTAATGAAGATGAAAACATGTATAGACTTTAGCTGTGTAAAACTGTGAAGCCCTAGCATGCTAGAGGGATTTTATTTAGAAAGGGTCTATAAAGTTGGTTTGCTACTTTTATCATTGTTTCCTAGATAAATAGCCATGATGGAATAGATTCCTGGTTTGTCTTTAAAGAACTGCTACAGTAAGACTTGATGTAGGTACAATTAAAAGTATTAACTTGCTGTTTCTCTACTCTTATGAAGCAAAATATGAGCTGAATCTGCTTTTTCACTGGAAAGTAATAATGTTCATTGTAAAACATCTTAACTTACTGTTTAAACTAATTGTTACCAAGAAATTAAGAAACTGAAATTTCTCCTTTTGATGGCTATTTATTAATAGTATTCTATCTTCTTTGGCTTTTCATTACTTCAAATAACCAAATGATGATGAAGATGATAATAGCTGAAATCAGATGAGGGCTTTCCTGGGTGCCAGGCTCTGTGCTAAGCATCTTTACCTGGGTTTTTTCATTCAGTTTTCATGACAATCCTAAGAGGTGAGTATATTATACTCATGAATAGGAGAGTAAACTGAGGCTTAGTGAGGTTCAGGCACTTTGCCCAGGGTCACATAGCTAACATAGAGTCAGAATTCAAACCCAGACAGTCTGATTTTTTTAGGTTTAGATTCTTGTATTTTCCTAATTTACCATAAACTTAAGAGGGACTAATTTCATCTTAAAATATAGAGTGTGATTTCTGGCTTTTTTTTAATGGAAAGAAATTCTCACTTTGTGCTTGGGACATCCTAATGCTGCAGTGGATTGGAAGGAAGTTTCTACACCAGCACAAGTTGTGTTTTGGATAGGGTGCCGATAATTGGCTTAATAGCAGTGCATCTGACAGTTTTCCCTATTGAAAATTTGTTTTGACAATTCTGCCAAAGTATGGGGGAAGACAAATACCATTATATTTAAAAATGTGAACCTTAACTACAGAATATTATGATTTGCATGTTTAAGTACTATCATTTCAGCCATATCTGCATGCAGTGTTTATGGATACTAGTTTTTGTGTAAATGTGGGTTCCTAAATGGAATCATTTTGTGCCACTAATGGGGAAATTTCGTCATTAAAGAATGATTGAAGAGGACTGGTCTTCATGAGAGATGAATAGTAAAAGTATCTGGACTGTTTTGAGGAGAAGGGAGGGAGTGTGGCATTTGTTTCATATTAAAACTGGTAGAGGGCTTCCCTGGTGGCGCAGTGGTTGGGAGTCCGCCTGCCGGTGCGGGGGGCACGGGTTCGTGCCCTGGTCCGGGAAGATCCCACATGCCGCGGAGCGGCTGGGCCCGTGGGCCATGGCCGCTGGGCCTGCGCGTCCGGAGCCTGTGCTCTGCAATGGGAGAGGCTGCGGCAGTGAGGGGCCCGCGTACCGCAAAAACAAAACAAAACAAAAGACTGGTAGGGTTGCAGATTATCTTTATTATCACTCTTATTAAAGAATATTGTTTAAGAGCAGTAGGGATCATGCTTTCAAAATCATTTTCTCCCCATACCCTAGTCTGGAAAACTTGGATGATGATTTGTATTGTTAGATCACTTGGTTTTAGATTGCCAAAATAGGCTCATTATATTTTAAAGAAAAATCTTGTAATTTAAACTAGTATTATAAACAGCAGCTTTAGTGGAACTCCTAATAAAATGTATTATATATTTTTCTTGGTTTGTCCTGGTTGTAGTCTTTGTGTTCCAAAGATTTTCCTATGGATATTTTCTCGCAGATGTTTAACTTTGATCTTAATCAAATGCTGGCTTAATGGTCCATGTTATTTACATGTTTATATATATGTGCAGAGTTTATCTTGTTATTATATTACTTAAATTTGTAGAAAATATCTGGTTAGTGGTATAGATTAATTGGTTTTACTGGAATTTTATTTAAAATAGTATTAATTAAAAACTTTGCTTTACAGCTTTGAATGGGGAAAGTAATTTGGGAGTACTAGAAAATGGACTTGAATAAGTAATATATTATTTCTACAGCTATAGTTTCCCTGCAGGAAAGATCTGATGGGACAGTGAAGCACATTTGAGAAACTGGCTTTGCAGCTGTGACTTGTAGGAAGCTCTTTGGCTGAAACTTGAAATGAAAGGTTTTGGTATTTAGATTTAACAGAGTCATTAGGCTGAAATCTGTAGGATGAGAAAGATAATTTAAAGTAAAGCATGAACTCTTGGTCATTTTATAAAAAGCATTTTGCTTGAACTAATTTTTCCTCACTTAATACTACCTGCTATCAAAAGATGTATTTTGAGTTCTGAGCTCCTACTCGTCTGCTGTGTTTGTAGCCCTTCATTGGAGAAAGCAGGCTGAAAGAAATAGGAAGGCCTTGTAGGAATGGGAGCTCAGGAACTGGGAGAATTCCAATTTCATGGTTCAGATTTAGTCTTTTCCCTCCTACATTGCAGAAAGCACATCGTTTGCATCTGTGCATATTAATGTTCTTTCCCCCTGACTGTGCTGAGATTATTGGCTGTTGGCTTTCCATTGAAAAATTACTTTTGTGGTAATGTGATGTGGTTTGCTAAATATTGTATATGTAACATCCCTGGTTTCTGTTTAAAGGCTTAAAAACACTAATGTGTAAACTTCTAAAGGGGAGTTTTGTTTTTGTGGATTTTTTTATATCATGTTGCATGTGATCAGATATTTCATTTTTGTATTTTCATCATTCTTGAATGGTGGAAAGAAAAAATATTCTGAGTGATTAGCAAATAACTGTGTTTGAACAATCTGGGTGGTAACTTTGTATAATTTAACCTGTTGCTCTAAGAGTTTGGGCTTTAAATTTTAAGTTATATGTTATTCTTTTAGTGCAAGCTGTATCCTGTGGTCAGTTGGCATATAATCCTGCTTTTGTTCAAAAGCTTAATATGGAAATAAAACTCAGTAGCATCTTTCATTTCTGATTCTAGGAAAACAGTGATTTTTCATTATTGAAACTTAGTTGCCACCAGCTTTCCAAATTAGCAGTTGATTTAATGCCCAGGCATTTTGATAACTGGCTTGTGTTTTTCTTCCAGCTTGTCCTTCCAGAGTACCTCATCCATGCTTTCTTCTGTGTCATGTTTCTTTGTGCAGCAGAGTGGCTTACACTGGGTCTCAATATGCCCCTCTTGGCATATCATATTTGGAGGTAATATTTAGATACACTTCTAATACTTTTCCTAATTAAATTTTAATTATACTATGGCTGATATGGTTATATTACATGTTAGTCACCTAAACGAAATTAGTTAGCATTTATTTTTAAAACCACATGGATGCACAAATAACTGTGTTAATACCTCTTATGGAGCTTATGTTATTATTCTTTAAAGGGTTTTTTTTAAAGTGAGGTATAACTTACATACGATAATGTGTGCACGTCGAAAGTGTACAGCTCAGTGGATTTTTACATATGGATACACTTGTGAAACTACCGCCCAGATCAAGATATACAGCACTTCCAGCCCCCAGAAGAGTCCCTTGTGTCCCATTCCAGTCAGTTAGCCCTGTACTTTCATAGGAGAACCAGTGATCTCTTGCAGCTTAGATTAGTTGTGTCCATATTTGAACTTCATATAAATCAAATTGTACAGTGTGTCTAACTTCTTTCTCCATGTTTACTTTATGACTTTAAATTTGGTTATTTATAAAAGATTCATATTTCATAGCTTCTAAATGTTATATCTGATCTGTATAGCATTAGAGTGTTTTGTTTTAGATAGGCATGTCAAAATCTCATTGCCCTTGATTTTAGGAAATACATACGGAAGAAGTATTCAGGAGTAAAGTGGTTTCACATCTGTAACTGGCTCTGAAATGGCTCAGAAAAAAATGTACGTGTATTTAGAGAGAGAACAGAAAAGAGGACAAAGCTGTGTGGTAAATGTGAACATTTGGAGTATCTTGGTGAAGTGTTCTTTATGTTAAAATAAAAAGTTGAAAGAAAAAATTGTATTTCCTTTTTACAGTTACTCTTAATTTTCTTGGATTTCTGAAAGTGTAGAGGAGACCAGATATGACTTGTTTAACCATGTTGTTCTCTGTAGGGGCTCCAGTTTTAAAATTAAGATGATAAAAGGAAAGAACTCCACCTAGAACTAAAAGTATGCTTCCCAATGTGGACCACCTCTCATTGTAACAAATATTATTTGAGAAGAAGAATGCTCCTTTCCATCCTGAAGGTTAGCTTCCATTCTGAGTGGCTAATCAACTGTGTTTATTACAGGTATATGAGTAGACCAGTGATGAGTGGACCAGGACTCTATGACCCTACAACCATCATGAATGCAGATATTCTAGCATATTGTCAGAAAGAAGGATGGTGCAAATTAGCTTTTTATCTTCTAGCATTTTTTTACTACCTATATGGGTAAGTTTAAAAAACAAAACGAAAATATGATTTCACTTTGCAGCCGGAAACATTTGCAGGCATTATGGTCTGAACACCTTAAAATCCACTTGAAGAATAACTCATGTCTTGAACAGTGGTACTGAAAACGGCACAGTGCACACCAGCAAATTCACACACATTGAATAAACTGGTACTTGTCAAGGCAGCCAACTGATGTGCAGTCAGAGGCAGAAAGTTGGGTCAGGGATGCTGCTTCCAAAGTCTCAGTCAGTGAAGGACAGTCCTCATTCTCCATGGCAGAGCAAGAGGATATGTGCATTTGCAAAAAGTTTCTGCTTGGCTTCAGTGTCTGTCTCAAGATTATGTTTAATTTTTTCTTTATCATTCTTCATAAACTGTATGCTCTACCCTTCATTTTCTGGTTTGCATGATCCGAATGGGATGGAGGAAAGAAAAGTTCTATCATATAGGATGCTGCAGTTATTTATTTTTAAAATTATTTATTTATTTTTTTGGCTGCATTGGGTCTTAGTTGTGGCACACAGGATCTTCGTTATGGCACGTGGGCTCCTCTCTAGCTGTGGTGCTTGGGCTCCAAAGTGCAAGGGCTCTGTAGTTTGTGTTAAGCGGGCTCTCTATTTGAGGTGCGCAGGCTTAGTAGTTGTGGCACGCGGGCTTAGTTGCCCCAAGGCATGTGGGATCTTAGTTCCCAGGGATTGAACCCGCATCCCCTGCATTGGAAGGCAGATTCTTAACCACTGGACCACGAGGGAAGTCCCGATGCTGCAGTTACTGATTTTCCTCCCTTTATACTGTGATGGACTCATATCATCATTCCTCTAGGTCAGGGTTTCTTGACCTTGGCACTGTGATATTTTGGGCAGGATAAATCTTTGTTGTGAGGAGCTGTCCTGTGCATTGTAGGATGTTTAGCAGCATCCCTGGCCTCTGCCCACTGGATGCCAGTAGCTTCCCCCTGCCCCAGTCATAATAACCAGAAATGTCTCTAGATGTTTGCCAGATGCCCTCTGTGGGGCAAAATCAGCCCTGGTTGAGAGGCAGTGTTCTAGGTGTACTGTAGGTGGAGGAAAACGGCTGCTTATTAAAACTGGAAATGGACACGGGCGAGTGTGGAGTTATAATTTTTCTTTAAGCTTTATAAATACATTTTTCCCATTTTTTATTGATAAATGTGGAATTTCTACCTGATTGTCAAAATATGAAGAAAATTAGTTTTATTAGATGAAATTTTGGCAGTAATTAAGTTTCTCTTCCCTCTCCTTTTTGTTACTTGAAAACTTGCTTATTTCTTGTTTACATCATACTAGTTTCCACTATGGAAAAGGGTGAAGTGCTAGACTTAAATTTATGGAAAATGTAGTTTTATGATTTTAGACGTTATGTTTGTGAAAATGAGTGTCTGTTAGTACACCTAGAGACGTTCATACCTGAAACAAAGATAGTGAAAAAGTTCTGAAAAGTGAAATTCCATGTGTCCTTTTAATTTCTGTTAATTTTCAGTTTTTAGTTTCTATAGTAAGTGGAACAGTGCTGGCATATAGTAGGCACTTAAAACATATTTGTTGAAAGAAGGAAAATAAATGAATGCTTGAATAAATGATAAAATTGGAGATGTAGAGTTGTGGGAAAATGTTCACCAGGAGATGGTGGCACTACATCATTCATTTGTTTTAAATTGTCTATCAACACACATGCACACACACACGATTCCAGGCGGGAGGCCCAGGCAACACAGTGCCTTGATTGAGGAGAAAGAGAAGGGCAGACACCCAGTCTGGGGGTCATATCAGCCACAAGCCCCCATAAGAGCAGCAAACTAAGTCCCAGGCCTATCGATGGAATAGGGTATCACCCCCACCTGAAAGGCCTTTCTGAGAAGAGCCAGGGACAGCCAGCTGTCTGCACGAGGAGAATGGAAACAATCGCTCAGATCACGAGAGCCCACAAGTCCACTCTGTCTCCATCATCTGTCCTCAGGCCGAGCACCAAGACCATTGACCCATTGGGCCCCCTCCCAGGCTGTCTGTGAATCTCTGTGAGCCCAGCCCTTACGATGAAGCCCATTGTCTGTCTTTGAAAAGCAATAGTAGGGACTTCCCTGGCAGTCCAGTAGTTAAGCCTGCGCTTCCACTGCAGGGAGCACGGGTTTGATCCCTGGTCGGGGAACTAAGATCCCGTATGCCAGGCAACGGGGCCAGAAAATAAAAAGCAATAGTAATGGATAAACATCATATTTAATCTGTGGTCCATCCAGACAATGGAATATTATTCAGAGATTAAAAGAAATGATCTATCAAGTCATGAAAATACATGGAAGAAACTTAAATGCATGTTGCTAAGTGAAAGAAGCCAGTCTGAAAAGGCTACAGACTGTCTGATTCCAAATATATGATATTCTGGAAAAGGCAACACTATGGAGACAGTAAAAATATCAGTGGTCACCAGGGGTTAGCAAGGAGAGAGGGATGAATAGACAGAGCACAGATAATTTTTAGGGCAGTGAAACTATTCTGTATGATACTGTAAGAGTGGGTACGTTTGCCAAGCAAATATACGTTTGTCAAAACCTGTAGAATGTACAACAGCCAGTGAACCTTAATGTAAACACTGGACTCTAGTTAATAATGATGTATCAATATTGGTTCAGTTGTAACAAGCATACCACACTAATGTAAGATGCCAGTAATAAGGGAAACTGTGTGTATGTCTGTATGTCTGTCTGTGTGCTGGGATCGGGAGGTCCACGAGAGGTCTCTTTACTTGCAGCTCAATTTTTCTGTAAACCTAACACTGCTCTTTTAAAAAGTCTATTAATTAAGTAATGATAACAAAAAATAGTCTATCAAGTTTGCTCACCTCCTTGCTTTGTATTTCCATTTAAACACACATACTTTTGAACCATGCCGCTCCCACCTTGCCCTTCAGGTAGGATCAAATGGTTATTGCTTTTTATTTTGCTTGTTGGTCCCCTTTTCCTTTTTAACCTTGCTGCTATTGCCTAGAGCCTTTCTCTAATGGGAAAGTTCCTTGATTGATCATTCCTGTCTGTAAAATGGGGATAATGGTACCTACCCTACCTCCTAGGACCTAACAGAAGGCCTGGCATGAAGTGAGCCCTTGGAGATGCTCACTCCTATTCTTAGGCATAGCTCTGGAGCAGTGTGCTGTTTGGATTGCTTCTCTAAGCTCTGATCCCTATTAAGCTTTCAGCTGTGCTGTTCTACTTGCGAAAATTGGAAAGGAAATAGGGGACAACTACAGCACATGCACTGAGCCAATCCTACCTTAGGCAAAAGTCCATAAATGCAGATTAAAATCATACTGTGAACTTTTCATCGTTCTTTCCATTTTCTGTGATGGTGTGATATCACAAACTAGTGTGCTATATAAAGCAGACTCAACTTTTTGGTGCTCTTAGTTTTTATAATTAGGAATGTTTGAGTTAATAATAGCCTTTTTCTTCTTTTCAGCATGATCTATGTTTTGGTGAGCTCTTAGAACAACACTCAGAAGAACTGGTCCAGTTAAGTGCATGCAAAAAGCCACCAAACGAAGGGATTCTATCCAGCAAGATCCTGTTTCCAAGAGTAGCCTATGGAATCTGATCAGTTACTTTAAAAAATGACTCCTTATTTTTTAAATGTTTCCACATTTTTTGCTTGTGGAAAGACTGTTTTCATATGTTATACTCGGATAAATAATTTAAATGGAATTACGTATAAATTAATATAAAATGATACCTCTGGTGTTGACAGGTTTGAACTTGCACTCCTTAAGGAACAGCCATAATCCCTTGAATGACTGCATTAATTATTGACTATCCTTAGTCCATTGGAAGCTTTTGTTTATAGAAATTGTAGGGCTCATTTTGGTTTTATTGAAATGCCATTTAATTATAAATTAGCTGTAGATATCAGGTGCTTCTGATGAATTGAAAATATATATCTGACCTGTGGAAACTTCATGGGTTTCCTCATCTGTCATGTAGGTGATTATATATGGATGCATTAAAAAAATGAGTGGGATTTTTTTCCCTTTGACTTGAAATATTATCCCTGTATATTGCATGAATGAGAGATTTCCCATATTTCCACCAGAGTAATAGACTTGCTTTAATTCTTAAGCATAAGTAGTGAACATGATACAAAAATATATGCTGACTTACTTGTGAAGAATGCATTTAAAGCTATTTTAAATGTGTTTTAATTTGTGAGACATTACTTATCAAGAAATTGGTTATTATACTTAGTGTTCTAATCTGGTGGTAAAGATATTCTTAAGAGTTTGCAAGTACTTTAGATTTTCAAAACTGAATGAGAGAGAACATTGTATAACCGTCCTGCTGTTCCTTTAGTGCAATACAATAAAACTCTGAAATTAAGACTTATTTTCAGTGCATTGTTTTAAAGATTACAAATAGCTATTCTTAAACTTGCTTATTCCAAATAAAGACATATCACTGTCAATTTTTAAAAAAGATAGTAGAGTATTACATTTTTTTTTAATATCATGCTTGGATCTAAAAAGGAAGATTTTAAAATGGTTAAGCACATTACCTTCTTTTGTCACTTGACAAGATTCATAAACACTGATGGCACAGCATCATCATTTTTCTTACCAATTAAAAACAATTATTGTGAAAATTTTCAAAATATTTTTTTCCTTTTTGAAACAGCATATTTTAAGGTAAAATGGCTTATAAGTTTGGTTTTTTTGCTGCTGCTTGTAAGGCAGGTGAAATAATTATGGCTTGCATGTTTCCGTAAGCATTCTTGTGCTTTATTTGGGATGAGGAAGTTAAGGCAATTGAAAATAGTCTTAAGTGGTTCAAAGTTTCTTCAAGGATCAAAGAAAGAAAACCATAGGCAGAAATTCCACATAATGATCAAGGGAGTTTATGGATGTGTTCGTGGAAGTCTTACTCTAAGTACCCCTTGAATTAGACGCTGTACTGTTTTATTCTCTACTAGAGAAAAAAATGCCTCTCCACCTTTGGGAGAGTGGCTGTTACTGTTTTCAGATTAGGTAATGGGGGTGAATATGTTGAAGAGGACGTAGAACCAGAAGAGTGAGGAGAGTCCAACCATTTCATAATGAGAGACGCTTTAAAGACCTTGTCTTTTGTAGTCTGGAGCACGCTTCGAGGGATCATCAGTTCATGCAGTAAATTGTTTACTGAGCCCTTACCAGGCACTGAAGACTCATGATCTGAGTATAAGCAATAATTCAGTTTCTAGTCCACCCAATTGTACCAGCTTGCGCTCATTTTTCTTTCTTGTTCACAAGAACTTTTGATCATGAGAGACTTGGCCAAGTCTTCTGTACTTCACATAGGTTTCCTGGGGCAGTTACTTTTGTATTCCTGTCAGAGCATTTTCATGAGCCCTCGCTGTCTCTCAGCAAACACCACTTTCCTTTATAAATTAACATACCTTTAATAATGTATTCCACAGTACTCTCCAGGATTAACGCAAGGTTTACTGGTTGTAATTTGTGGAAGCCACCTTCTCATGCTTCAAAAATTAGATATGTAGTCCTTAGCTGATTCCTCAAAGATGACTGACAATTGAGGTTCACCCATCTCAGCGGTAGATTGTTAGTTCCTAGGCATGTGATTGGGTACCTGGATGCTCTCATAATATCTACTCATCTTTACCTTTTCCAGTGTTTTATGAAATTAAGTCACTTACCAAGAGAAAGCAGAAATATAATATTTGCATTTGACAGTATCCCACTTGTTCTTTCCCTTGCTCTGAGTTTGCTTTGTTCCCTCCATTAGTCTGGTTTGGGTGGCCCTAGCCATATTTCTATTTTTCCTGCATGCCCAGCTGAAACGTAGTTAGCCTGGGTTTGTAATCCTTTCCAGCTTTAGTCAGACTGCACCCTGTGTAGCCACAGCTGTTTATTTAGGAATTATTTTTTCCCTTGTTACAAGTACTTTTGCTATTGTGTGATTTGATTTATCTTTAAGAGCGTTCCAACTCTCTGAAACCATTAGTGTAACACACTGTGGTTTTTATCTGTATCAGCAACTCCTTGCTGTTGGTACAGATTGTCCTGCATTAAAAATCTTACATAACAGATGTAGTCTGTTTAGCAGTTATTCTACTTAGTAACAATACTATATCATGCCAACATGTCCTACTAGTGTTAAGGAGGTATGGGGTAGAAACTTACTTGAATGCCTGAATCTGAATTTTATTAATAATGTTTGATGATTTTCACAATATTTAACTGATAGTACCCACTCCCTATCCCAGGATAGAGGAGAGTTGGGTCACAGGCTGTACATAAGCTGCTAATTTGTTTGAAGTTTGAATTACTTTTCATGGGAAGAGGGTAGTGGTAGGAAATGACCAGATGATCCACTTTTGAGACACACGAGGTATTACTGAAGCATTTGAGAAGCCTCATGGATTACACCATGAATTGCCAGACCTACCAGTCAAGTTTAGATACCCAGGTAATGGTCTTACACAAAGCAACAGAGTGCATGGCAGTTTGTAGTATGTGTCTTTTAAAGCCTGTTCAGTATTTTCCAGCTTGAGGACCACTTATGTTAATAGCTCTCATCTTCTCTGCAGATCAACAACATATTTTGAAAATATTTCAGATAATTGCATAGAAAGGAAATAAGAGATATAGATACACTTTGAAACTAGCAAATTATTTTCTTTGATACAACACTTCTCTTTTCCTCCAATTATATATATTTATGAACAGTGTTCATGGAATATTATTGCCATAGTACAAAGAATGACTTCCGTGGATTTCTTCTTACACCCTGGAGGAGGGTGGGCTTTCATTTCAGGTATGGCTATAGCATAGCAGCATCAAGCCCATTAAAATAATCTATTTAAAAGTTTTCATCTAACTTGCTTATTTAAAATGTGCATCTCTCAATAATCAGTTGTACAGTATAATTGGAAATCAGAAGTTTTGACAGCCGAAATATTTTAAAACAATACTCTTTTCAAAGGGGAAAGATAGTAATGTCGAATAATTTAAGCTCTTGTTCAAACCAGTCATTGATCTGGTCAGACCAGCAGCTAATGAGTCTCTGGCACTAGTATTATAGCTTAGCAGATGGTTCTGAACTAATACTCTGGGGCGATGCTAAGAGAGAAAATGGGGTTCTGTTTCTGGATATGTTGAATAGCTTTCTTAGAACAATTTTACTTTGATTAAAATGAATGGTTTTAAAGCTAAATGTCTAAAAGGAGTAAACAACTCTGCTGCTTGTTTTTGGAAAATAGTATTAACCACCTAAGGTGATCTGGGGGATTGGAGTGAAGGTTTTACCCTACTTTAGTTTCATTAATGCACATTGTGGAAGATGTAGAGAACATCTTGACATGGAAAAGAATGAATAAGTTAACGTTCATTGTACAGTGCTTTCCTAAATTTCTTTGGTTATCATGTTCTTATATTCTGGAGAAGAAACATTTCTTAAAAAATTGATGACTAGGTAGATCTATAAAACTACTAAGGGAAACACAGAATATAGTCAGCCATCTGTGCTCATGGTTTGTTAGATTTAAAATCTAAGTTAACCTTAATGGTGCTGTACACCATCCAAAGACCTGTATACCATGTACAGCCCTTATGTCGTCCTGCCTTCTTAGAGCTTGCTTGCTTTATTTTGCTTTTGTATATTTAATAAAAACTGTCTCAAATGTTTCCTTGTGTAGTTTATGGATAACAGTTGAGTTTGTGTTGATTCTGTTTCAGCAACTAACTGGCTTGTGTATGACCAGGATTCTAGCTGGTCTCTCTGTCTCCCCTCCCCCATTGTTTTGAGGGCTGTCCAGCAGATTAACCAGAGAAAATGCTTTTCCAAGAATGTTGGAATTACATGTTATTAAACTTAATTGGATAATTATATTTGAGTAGTGACATCCCATGTTTCTTTGTTATGGAATAATTGATGTTTTTCCTTATACCTAGTATTAAAATAGTTTAGTGAAGCATTTTAAATGCGGAACGCTCAACAAGCACTTGCAGTAGAAATTAAGAGATGCATGCACTTTGAAAATTCAGTTGATTATTAAAGGATTTGATTAGTCCATGCCAATACTTATCTTCCATTTTCTTAAGTATTCATGAGTAAGCTATATGTTTATATTGGGAGAAAGCTAATATAAGATTTGGTAATGTCAATTTCAATGACTGTTTAAAGTTTAATGGAATATTGTGATTTTTTAAACTGTATTTGGTTATAATACCAAAATCATGAGGAAGGTCAGTCTATTATTGCAGCCTGTACTTTAAAAAAAATAAATAACTTTCTAGCTATAACTTTTGGCATTTATTACCTTGGGTAACAAATCCCTAGGGATATGCAATTCTCCCACCTTCCTTAAGAGTCTTATAAAACCTTAAGTTCTAGAAGCACTGTGTATATAAAAGTATTAAAACATTGATTTTATATTATGGTACATGCTGGCTCTCTGGTCTGGAGTTCCCAAACAGCACGAGTAATTGTTTTATTCTCTAATGAAATTAAAGTAGTCCATCAGAGCAAGAAGAATGACAGAGTAAGACTTTGGGTAATTATATGATTATTTAAAATTAAGGGTCGATGTAGTGAAATTTGCTTTGTCTTGTGTGGAAGTGCCTCTGACTGTTGGTCACGTTTGTGACTACCGGTAGCCAAGAGAGCCATGGCACTCTGCAGCAGTGAAACCACTGAGGTCTCTTTAACTTTGACTCACTGTATGATCCTTGTCTACAAATGACTACTTTCGGTAGCTCAACATGGAATTTAAAGACAAAAAGACATGTTCAGTAGCATAGAGTGAAGTGAAGGAGTGAGAGAACTCGAGACTTAATCTGTAGATAAATGCTTTTATAAAATAAATGTGGAGGAGGGATTAAATTCATTCTGTGTAGTTCCTAGGGTGAAAAAATGAATGCTGTAAAAACAGAGCAGCTGTCTGAACCAATTGGAAAATTCCAGCAAATGCTGGATAAACACCTGTTGGGATGATCTGGTATTGGGAGGGAGGTGACGAGATGATTCATGGGATCCCTCACAATTCTGTATGTCTATGAAGTAGAGAAAACAGTGGGAGAAATTTTCAGAGGAATAGAGGGTAAGAGTTATTTAAACAATTTTAGCATGGCTACTCATACCAATTTTCATATGTATTACTATGTCATATGCTACCCAGTAGTTACCGATAATATGAGGTAAGAGTGTGGTAAAAAAATAAAAATATATTTTTCCATATGCTCTTTTCAGCATTGCCTCCAGGTAAAATACATCAGAGCAGCTAGTGCATTTTTAAAAGGAAAATTGTATATCAGTTTTTCTAACTCCTATAAGAGATGAAAGAGACACAATGAAATTTGTCAGTAAAAGCTTTAAGAATATCTGCACATATACATCTACATTCATTACATTCCATTTGATAACAATAGTAGTTTCATTTCAATACGAATGTTAGAGAACTCAAATTTCTGCCATGGTCATATATATATGCTATTTGAAATTCTTTTATCTAGATACAGATCTTGATAGTGAATCTCTTGATGATAGGTGTGCAGCTAGTTTGTCCCGGAACTCATGAAGATAATTATATTGCTGAAAAAAGTAAAGATATATTGAAATACATTGTAGAAAGCTGATTACCAGAGTAGTCA